AATCTCGTAATATTACTTTAATCTCGTAACATTATGACTTTATTCTCATAAAATTAGGGCTTCAATATCGTAAAATTGCGACTTTTATCTCGTAATATTACGACTTTAATCTCGTAACATTATGACTTTATTCTCATAAAATTAGGGCTTCAATATCGTAAAATTGCGACTTTTATCTCGTAATATTACGACTTTAATCTCGTAACATTATGACTTTATTCTCATAAAATTACGGTTTTAATCTCGTAAAATTATGACTTTAATCTCGTAATATTACGACTTTAATCTCGTAACATTATGACTTTATTCTCATAAAATTACGGTTTTAATCTCGTAAAATTATGACTTTAATCTCGTAATATTACGACTTTAATCTCGTAACATTATGATTTTATTCCCATAAAATTACGGCTTTAATCTCCTAATAATAATAATAAAAATCTAGTTGTGTCGCCCTAATACTCTGTCGTAATTTTGACCAAAGTTATTCCTCTGTTTATTAAGGACTTGCAGCAGGGCAGGTTAACAGACCCTCATGCTGATTTTTTGACTTATTTGTACATTAGCTGTTTGTTTAACAGACTACTTGCAGTTTAATATGTATTAAATAATTTCATTTTCATTATGTTTACATTAACATTAAAATACATCTGGGTAAGCTGTTAAGTTTCAGGTTCAAATTCACGTTTCATAGATTATTTCAATTAGTTGGGAACTTGTTATGTTAAGGCAGAGACACTGGATAACAGGGTGACATTCACAGGTGAGATGAGCAGGTGAGACTGGAGCTGGAACAGGAAGTGTGACCACAGGAAGCTTAGATGGACGTTGAGACAAAAATAGCTGTTGACTAATCAACTAATTAGAAAAATAATTGCAGATAGTCGACTATTAGTTGCAGCTCTACATCAGACCCAGCACATCTGACCCTGTCAGACCCGGTCCCCTTCCTGACGAGACCATATTTGTTACAGACAGATCCAGAACCACACAGGATCATCTAAAAACAAACTACTGCAGGTTCTCTGTCAGTCCTTTTACACCGACAGAACAGAACCAAACTGAACCGGACCGAACTGAATCAAACGGATCCAACAAACTGCAGAAAAACTGAAACTCCAGAACAAAAGAGAAGTTGTGCTGTCAGCCTGGTGTTGTGGTGATCAAACACAAAGATGGAGTTTGAACTCTAAAATCAAACAAATATTTACCTCTGACCTGGACCGACCCAGTCCAAAGAATCCCAGCCAGATGGGGGGAGAAGGAGGGGTGCCCAGTAGCCAACAAACCAGTCAGAAAAAGCATTTCCTCAGATGGACTTCCAGAACAAAAGAGGAGTTTTTAAAACCACTCACAGGTTCAGTCCAGATCCGGTCCAGGTTCTTCAGAAACCAGTACCCTAACCCCTAACCAACTGGTTCTTAAAGTGTCTGAGAGAACATGTTGTCATCATTTATCAACAGAACTTTAAGGAACAGGAAGTGACACTTTGGCTGGATCCAAAAATCAGGGACTGAGTCCTTCGAAGAACCTGGACTACCTGGACTACCTGGACTAACCAGACAACAGGTGGGCCGGGTCCTTCCACAACCACAGAAACCAGCTGTGAATTTAGACGGTCTAACCTTCAGCTTTATTCACATCCTGTTCAGCAACCTAAGTGTAAACACTACAGTAAAGAAAAGAACAAAAAGTCAATAAACATTGTTAATAAATAAATGTTGAGTTAAAGAAATTTAACAAATAAACAAAGTAAGTAAAAAAACACGAACGTAAAGAAAAAAATCAATAAAAAATAAGAATAAACAAACTTTGAGTTAAAGAAAGTTAATAAACAAACAGTAAATAAACAAACACTAAAGTTTAAAAATATCAATAAACAATAATAATAAACAAACTTTGAGTTAAAGAAAGTTAATAAACAAACAGTAAATAAACAAACACTAAAGTTTAAAAATATCAATAAACAATAATAATAAACAAACTTTGAGTTAAAGAAAGTTAATAAACAAATAAAGCAAATAAACAAACACTAAAGTTTAAAAATATCAATAAACAATAATAATAAACAAACTTTGAGTTAAAGAAAGTTAATAAACAAATAAAGCAAATAAACAAACACTAAAGTTAAAAAAATCAATAAACAATAATAATGAACAAACTGAGTTAAAGAAAGTTAATAAAC